GACCGTCGTGGAAGAGAGAGCACTCTCAATAAGGTGCAGGCTCGGTCTGAGTGTAGCTGATGGGTGTTGTCTTGAGAAGTGCTTGGCGACCATAGTCCGACGCAAACATCTGTCCGGCGACGTGTGCCACGCCATACACCAGCGCAAACGTCTTCCTGAATGTAGGGACCTCCTGCACTGGAACTCCGCCTTGGAAAGTGGTGATATTTTGGTACGATGCGTAGTAGCGCAGGTCAGTTCGTTTCGTGTTGGCTCTCAGATTGTCAATGACCCAAGCAGCTTGACCGCGGTTGGTGCGGTCGGGGCCACCTTGAGCCCAGGACATGCAGCTTTGGTCGCCTCCAGAGTCCGCCTGATACGTGTCCTTAGTGCCGCTCAGCCTGACGACATCGCGGCTGCAGGTGCGTTGGAAGGACCAGCTTGACATTGCATTGTTGATGTAGCGCGGCTTTGCTCCTCCCGGACCGTAGGGCCAATTGTTGTAGTTTGGACACTTCGCAAGGTCGATGGGCCCCACGGGTCTTCGCGAGTCAACCTGAAGGTAGCACTGAAGTCAGCCACATTTCCATAAGGTTGCGCAACCAGAGAGTCCCAGCCGAAGCATGCTCACCATATAGGAGGTTGGGGTATTCGCCTCCACGTATCGGATCTTGATTCCGGATGGGGCATTTGGACCAAAGTGAGAATATATGTCGACGAGCGCAGCGCCAGCAGAATGTCCAACGACGGTGATGCGAGCCATGTTGGGGTACCGGCTCTTGTTCGATAGATTCTTGATGAGAGAGTCGAGAATCTCGAGACTCGAGACAGATTCGCCATTGAGCGGCCGGCTCGTACCCCCAGCAACGGCATCTGATCCGTAACGCCAGTCGTCGTTCCAGATGACATTTCTGTCTGGTTGCAACCAGATGGGATTCGGCTTGCCCTGATTTTGAGCATTTTGCACCGTACGAACGTCGTCGGGGCCATAAAAGTTGGGAACGACAGCTACGCCTTGGTCGCCAACGACGTTGTAAAGGTCGGAGAATAATTGATTGCTGTGCGGTGGTAGACCACCTGTCAGAGATCAGACGGTCCGTGTGTAGACGCTCGGTACTCAACACAAACTCACCCATTCCTGAGTCGACCGTGCAAGCCTATCCAGGCGCTGCTCGCGCCGTTGGAACCGCTACCGATATAATTCTTGTTGGCAAAAATGGGCACGGTAGCAGTCGTCCCGGGCTTCCCATTGATGGTGTGCTGCGTCAGCCTCGAGCCGGAAGGAGGTGAAGGCAGTCCACCGCCTGAAGCCTGTGCACTAGTGCGCAGCACACCACTCGACGAAGGGTTGGGCGAGCTTGTGCTGGAGGTACTTTTCGTGCTGGTGCTGGAGTTGCTATTCGTGCTAGTGCTGGAGGCACTTCTTGTGCTGGTACCAGAGACATTGTTGGTGCTCGAAGATGAAGCCACGGTAGTAGTGAGTCTTGATGAGGTCGCGGCCGTTTGATTGCCGGCCTGTCTGATGAGTAGCTCAATTGCCACCGCCTCCTCAGGGTAGAGTACGCCCCTCTTCTCCGCAGGCAGGGCCGTCGTCGTGAGAGCAGCGACGACACCCACAAGAAGCGTGCTCCATAAGCGTGCCGGAAGCATGTCGGAAAAGCGAATGTAAGGAATATGAAGCAGGAAGGCGTTGCGCTTGTTTGACGCGCAGGACGAGTCGGTGGTGTGAAGAACCTCTTGATGGGTTGATGCTCGGTCCACATTATCGCTCATTTATATGTCCTCGTGTGAGGGCGGTGAGCAGTGGAGCTTGTGCCGGCCACGGCCCGCACTTGCCGTCTCTGCTGCTGCTGCTGCTGCTGCAGATTCACAGATCCACGATTGTTTGCAGCAAGTGCGAGGAGTGATCGTTGAGTGCCGATCATCCTGTGAAGAGCATCCAGAGCTTCTGGTCGATCAGCTATGCGAGAGGAACAGGTTCCTGGGTTCGATTGGCAAGGTCCCGACTTTGAGGAGGCCGGCTCATACTGAGGCTGTATGGCCAGAAAGTCGAGGCTGCTGAATCCCGCGCTGCAGGGGGCCCAGCCTTGGGGATTCCGCTGCTCTCGATCGACGTTCACATCAGCCGAAGGTGGCTTTCGGCAGAGCAGATGCCAGGTTCGGCCCGACTGATTGAGAAGCAAGCATCGCAAATCGAATCGTGACATTGTGAGTATACGGATACGGCCTGCTCGCCCTGCCAGTCGATGGAACTGCGTCCTCTCGCAAGCCGCTCAACTTCGCGCGGAGTTCTGGGCTTGTGATTAGGTATTGGCCGGTCACGCGCAGGCGCTGGCTCTGCAAATCCGACGACTTGATGAGTGGAAAGCAGTAGCCCCGTGCGCGCCACACCAACACTTGTACAAGCTCTCATGCGCATCGGCAAGGGGCGAGCATGTCACACGTGGTCGTCGGCACGACCCATACCCACTCCTGTACTGTAGCGCGGATGTAGTAACGCGACTTGGGTGGTGAGTCTCACAACACGCTCCTAAGCACTCAGACGGGCTGGTGTCGCGAAGCCTTGGTTGTGGATTCGCCTGGCGCGTTTGCTGTTTGTCCAGGCCCAAAGTATGCGCGGACCGCGTGATCTCAATCCAGCTGATGAGGCGTTTGCATGACTCCTGCTCTGCAAGTAGCGGGCGTCCACCGTCCCCCAGACGGCGGCAGGGAATGTCTTTGAAGGCGAAGAGCGGGCCTGAGGTGGAAGCGCGGCCTTCTTGGCGATGAGCGAGTGCGCGGATGGACCTGTCCGCTTGGGAGGAACCTATCCTGTCCGCGTCTAAGAACGTGTCGTCCAGAGCGCTAAGAGTGTCTGTCTTCCTTTATGCTACGAACCGCTGCACCTGCTGGACTCGAGCCTCGGCATCTTGGCAAGGTGAGCACTGGGCGGATCCAGGGCTATGTTCAGATGGACCGCTCCAGCTCAATCCTCGACCTCTATCTGTCTCCTCCTCCTTGTTGCCCCCCTCTGTTCTGTCCGTC